CCTCATAATGCTGCCCATTAAATGGCTAGTTGAGTGCCTCATGAATGTGCCAAAGAAGCCAAATGCTGAACTGCTGTTTACACAATTCTCAAGAGCAATGCAAACAATTACGAATAGTCATCCACTGAGCTTTATTCGGTTATCAATCAGCTTGACTTTGGCAAAGGTAGTATTAGATACTTGTGCGGCTGTTAAGAAACTTTAAAGAGCCGACCAGCTAAACTACTTGGGGCCCAACATTTCGACACTTCAGCCGAACACCCTCGATTGCCATGGAGTTTATATAAAGCGTAGGCCACCTAATCGCCAATCGAAATGCCCAAGGCATCAGTTGCAATGTTGACTAGGAAGTGTGCGATTCTCTGCATTCTATTGCCCTTGCTGGGTGCCAGCTGTGTCCTGGCATCGGAGTCATGCTTCTATTGCCGCGGCATCAACTGTCAAAGGAGCAGCTATCAGGTCACAGAGCAGTGTGTCGATCAGCTCGATGCATGTGTGAGTGTGTTTGAGGGGGCGTGGTTAGGGCGCAGGGCTGTCTGGAACGGCTGGACGACAGCTGGCGAGAGCAATGCGAGACCAAAGCTCACTCCCGAGTGCAGTGCGAGATTTGTGTGAGCGAAAAGTGCAATACTAGGAGCTCCCCTCAGCTCTCCTGTGTGCAGTGTAACGATACGCAGGTAAGCAACGAGCCAAGAGTTATCCTATTCAGCTCAAGGCTAAAGAGAATTTGTATTCAAGGATGAACGCTGTCGAACTGCTCCAGAGCAGCTGGCGGCACAAACCTGTGGCATAGCTCGCAGCGGACGCAACCTGTGCTACGCGAGCATCAAGAACCAACACGTCGAGAGAGGTTGTTCACTAACATTAGCTGATCAGCTCACTTGCCTGGCCGATCTCAATTGCAAGCTATGCGACCCAGCCGAAATTTCCCATTGTAATACTCAGCTTCTCGAGGAAATTGAAGAGACGACCTCCACGAGCACAACTGAATCGAGCTCGACTTCATCGACTTCCAGTTCCAGTTCCAGTTCCAGTTCCAGTTCTAGTTCCAGTTCCAGTTCCAGTTCCAGTTCAACCTCAACTAGTAGCACTACGACTTCCACTACTACTAGTCCATCCCCTGAGCCGCCAACTCCAACGCCTCAGCCCGGCAGTGCTCAAAGCTTATGTACGAAAAAAATTCCCATTTTACTATTGGCTCTGCAGCTGGCTATGTATTTTTATGCCTCCAATAAATAATTTGGCAGAAACAAAATATCGTTGGGTTTTGGATTCCCACGACCTTCTCTCCGTCATAAAACTAACCAATAATCATTAGGCGACTGTTAATGTTCATAAATAACGATTAAGTACTTAATAAGACCTATAAATACATATATATTTGTATATTTATATATATATATGTATATAGTATAGGGTTCACAATGCTCAGCAAATAGAGATAACTAGAATTCTCAGTTTCTTAGATTAATCTCTCTAAAACTTTCTTCCGTTTCTTCCATAACAAATAACATACATATACATATATATAGTTAGTCTTAATAAAAATTCAGCTTATCTAGGGAATTCAAACTAATTGAGTAATTGGAGCCCAACATCTAAGACGGTACAACAGACTTGGGGTACAAATAAACCCCAATATAAAAAATAATCTAACAATGATTAGAAGCGATTAAAGAGCATTGTGAAATAATAGAGGGAAAACCGAGAGGGATATAAATCGCATGGTAACAGCATAAGGAGTGATATGGAAATTCCATGAAAAATTTGACCAAGATGATAAGAGGTCAACGGCTAGAACACCCCAAAGACAAAGCACTTCCTGAAACCCTACAAACGATCAAAGGCACATAACAAGTTTATCAATTGATAAGAATTGAGTGCAGCGATACTGGAAATTGTTGTTATTGCGCCTCAAAATGCATTTCCCAACTGTGTAACTGTGAATCAGTTGACAATAAACGTCTACATTATACCAATAAAATCAATAGAAATACATATACACGTACGTGTTTATAGGTGAAGTTCGGACCTGCAATCCACATATTAAATTGTTGCCCTGTCGCCGCCTTATCTCATCAAATTCGCCAAAATGACGAAAATCGTGAAACGAGAATCGAGAATCGAGCTATACGAGTGTAAACGTGTATCGGCCCGATTCTGTGTGATTAGAGCAAAACTTTTGGTCGGCTTATCTGGCGCATTGTTTTTGCTTTTTATGTTAATTCCCCTTACTAAATACGCACTTGCAGTGGACAGCCGGACGGGGGCAGGGCGTTGCGGGTGGTGTGGGCGATGGGTGTTATAAATAACGGCGAGCAGAAACTTACTTTATCGGACATTCGGCAACAGTATCATATAATCATAGTCGTTAATATAAGGCAATAATCGTGGAACGACTCACTATGAAACGTACATTCGACAAATCTATAAAAGGTGCCCCAAACCCAGCCAGAAAATTAGTCGACCGATTCCACGTTTGTTGGTAATACGCGTCGGGTAAAAAAGAGCCCATCGATCATGAGGCTGAAAACAGCAGGGATAATAACTCTGCTACAAATAGTATTATATGTGGCTAATCCAAGTGGTAGGTGATCAACAAGGATAATTTGTTAATTCAAGTGTTGTTAATCGGAAAAAATATTTGATTTTAATCAGTTAATGAATTATCAAA